ACCCTCGCGTGTTAGCGCGGCTGCCGCCCGCCGGCACCCAACCTCCGGCTCCCAGCCAGTGCTCACCGCCGCCTGCTCTGGGCCAGGCGCTGAGTCGGCCCCAAAGCTTCCAAATTGAGCATGAAACACAACCCATCAGCTCTAATGGAGCCTATCTGTTGGAGTCACACGCTGAGATTCTGACTAGGGCAGACCTTACTTTAAGAACCTGGACTTTGGAATTAGATAGCCTGGCTCCATAGCTCACTTCCACTGCATCTGGTCCAGTAACTTCAGGCAAAATCCTGAATCTCTTGTGTTCTAGTGTCCACAGTTGGTATAGAGTAATACCTACTCATGAAGTTGTTGTGGGGATGAAGTGAGAAAATCTATAAGGAAGCATCTAGTGCAATGCCTGACATAGAAGTAAGCGTCAGCTATGATTGTTACTCCTCAGATTTGGAGTGGGATCAGCCATCTGTGTGTTTAGAAAGCTCCATAGGTGCTTTCTATAGCATTGAGCCTAACAAAGGAGCTGATGAAGGATTCTTAAGTCAGGAAGTTGTTACTTGACTTGTTAGAGCAAATTCTTGTTTTAGAAAAGTTAGTGACAAATGGGGCGCCTGGATGGCACATTCCGTTAAGCGTCTGCTCTCAGCTCAGATCATGATCTCAGCGTCCTGGGATGGAGCCAGGATTAGGGCTCCCTGCTCAGCAGGGAGGGTGCTTCTCCCTCTCCCTCTGCTGCTCCCCCTACTTGTGCGCTCTCTCGCTCTCTCTCTCTCTCTCCCCCCCCTCTGTCAAATAAATAAAATCTTTAAAAAAAAGTGACAACCTAGACTTAAGTCAGTCATAGCAAGGCAACCTAGAAATGATGCAAGCTAGAACTAAGATAGTGGCCATGAGGTAGAATGGGACAGTTTCAGGAGATACTTGGAGTGCAGAATGGTAAAACTGGTAAGATGGAGACAGAGTGGGTAGGAAAAAGTGCTTGGTTTTCTGTCTTGGGAAACAGGGCGGTGCCATTTGGAGAAGGGGGTGGGGGAACAGGGACTGAGACCACAAGATGAAGCTGGGGAAATAATTAACAGTGATTTTGAACATGTTGAAATTGAGGTCTCTGTGACATCACAAGAGAGATGACCAACGGTCATTTGGATGTATATAGTGTAACGATCTACATAAAGAGCTGCGCAGAGCTGCAGATCCAGAATCGTCAGCAAGGTGAAATCAGGAGTGTGAATAATGTTACCAGAGGTTTCAAGTAAAAGGATTAGAAGAAGATGTGATCAGAGATTGGTGACAGGATATTTAGCCACCATTTTGGACCTTGAGGGATTATGGAGCCATGATCCAGGTCCCTGACCTGAGGATTTCATGGAGCAGAGCTGTACACCAGCCTTGAGCTACCTGCCTCTGGATGCTTATAAGAAAGAGAAATAATGTTGTCTTACCAAAGCCACTGTTGGCTTACCAAAACACAGGTGTTCTTCTGTTATTTGAAGCAGAATCTAACGTTAGCGGATGCAAGGACCAAGGCTAAAATAATCATTCCGCTTTTTGTAGTCTTATTTCAGATCCACCGTCAGATACACCCTTAGACACTGAGTTCAGATAGTCTAAGTCCCCTTAGAAACAAACTTCCCCAGACACAAATTTGCTTCTCCAACACATACTAGCCTTTTCAGACACCCTCTCCTAAAACACTGACCTTCAATATACCTACCCACACCTTTCTGCAAAACAACAAGTAGCCCCTTATATACACATTTACCTCCTATTCTCATATTCTTACTACACCACTCCCTAACACAAAAATCTGGTCTTTTCCTGACTGACACACATAGACACACCTGCCTCATTTCTCACTCTTTGACTCACATTCACTGATCCCTCACACTCATGGCTTCAAATTTATTCATACCCTCAAATGCACACACACTCACTCTTATAGGTGCAAACATTGGCTGGAGACACACCTGGTTACCACACTCAAGCAGACACGCTCATTCCCTTATTCAGACACATTTGTTCTCTCATAATTTTAGAGAAAGTATGTTGACCAGTAATGAGCTGGTAAATGTTTAACAACCCCCTCTCTGGGCTGGGAAGGAGGAGCTCTGATTTATAGCATTTGTCAGTTTCCATGGTGTACTCTGGCCATGGCCAATTTCAAGCTCACAGTGATTTTATGACCTTCTCACAAAATTCCTGACAATTTCACAATGGCTCTCAGAAGCGCTCAGCTCCAGGATACCCTGAATGCAGACCATCACACATGCTGTCACTTGCTTTAAGTGACTCACTGGCCTTAGGCACAGGGTGGCTAAGAGCATGGGACTTTAATTCTCTACCTCATGGAGGCAGTGTAGTGCGTGGTTAACAGCTAGTAGGTTAAAGTGCTGTGATGAGGCTCTAGATGAGCTTTATAAAGAGCTGAGCACAATGCCTGGCCCGTAATAAGAACATTGTACAAATTTATTCTAAATAACCCTTTCTGATTCGCTCACCCCCAGAGACACCCAAGACTCCAGAAATAGAGAGCCAACTATCCCCGAGACAACTGGTCCCATCATAGAGAATCACCAAACTGTATCTTCTGAGCAAAGGCATGGTCTAAATTGTGTGGTACACACTCTCCAAACACAAGGAGTTTAGAGGAGAGGAAACCTAAAATGTCAGAGCTGGAAGAGATTGCACACGGGCAGCCTTCGGGCGAATTCAGTTCTCAAAAGTGTTTTGTTTGGTCAGCAGAAAGCGTGTCTCTTCCATTTTCACAGTCCCCGATCCTTCCCATTGTCTTACACCCTCCCCGCTCTGCTCAGTTATGCCACCGGCCCAGCCCTTCAGCCAATCCAGCTTGCCACTCCCCGATTGAACACGAATACCCTTGTATTTTTAAATTGAGGTTTAGGTGGGTAAATGATAAGCAAAGTTAACTTTTATTGACCATTTACTTTGTGCCAGGCACTATCTTAATTAATACTTCCTTCAACCCTATGAGTCAGGTACTTCCAAATCTTTTCACAGACAGGAAACCCACTCAGAGAGAGGAACTAACTTGCCAAGTCACAGACCTAGTAAGTGATTTGAGTCTTTGAATCGAGGTGTGTTTGACTCGTGTCTACTAAAATATGACCAGATCAAGGGGAGAGAGGACATTCTGGGCAAGGTAGCCCACGTGAAGGGGGAGGAGACATAGCCTTCTGTGGATACCAGGCATTGGGAGAAGGCAGTGGACTGAGGGGAGAGGGAGAGCTTTGAACACTGGAAGATAAAGGTGTTGACTTTTGGACAAACTGAGTTGGCCCCTTTCCCTTCACTCCCACTCCCACCACCCTAGGGTAAGCCTGGAATCCTGCAGGAGGATTCTCTTAACTGGTCTTCCTTTTCCATTGTCATCCCTGTTCATCTCGGGATATAACCCTCACTCATGATGGTTTGGGAACGAAATAGCTCTTCAAACCTGCCCCTGTTCTGAGGATAAAATCCGAAAAGTTTTAACACGGCCTTTAAGACCCTTTCTCTGCCCACCTGTCCAGCCTCTGTTTGTTCTGATCTCCCCATTGCCCGCTTCCTTTGTAAGAATAGCACCGAGGTAATACTCATGGAGGCCCCCCTGATCCCTTCCTTGGCTGTCTTATCCTCGCCATCTCACTCAGCTTGGATGGCACTTTCTCCAAGAGGCCCTGAGACCCCCCCACTCCATCTCGATGAGGCTGCTCTGTTCTCCTAGCTCTCTAGGCTTTCTTCACATGGCTTAGCATGTGATGTGATTCTTCTTTGGGGCAGGGGGAGGAGCAGAGGGAGAGGAAGAGAATCTTAAGCAGGCTCCACGCCCAATGCAGAGCCAGAGGCAGGGCTCGATCTCATGACCCTGAGATCTTGACCTGAGCAGAAATCAAGATTTGGAGGTTTAACCGACTGAGTCATCCAGGCGCCCCAGCATGTTACATGATTATTAATGTGTGTGTGTGTGTGTGTGTGTGTTTAAGTTAAGGTCTGTCTCTATCACGGGACTATGAATTCCTCAGGGACAGGAACTGTGCCCATTTCCTTGACCGCCGTATTCCCAGTAGTTAGCACAGCCCCTGCCTATGTTAACTTTCCAATAAGTGTTTGTAAATAGATGAATTACAGATAGGTAGGAGCCATATCTCGTTTTCATTGGGTGGCATGCAAACACACAGACACACGTACATTAACAGTGCTCAAATAGACATTTGAGCAAGTTTTGACAATGGGCACAAGGATTTATTTCAGCTTAAACTTGATTGGTTTGGCTTCTCTTGGGTACCCTGGAGTGGAGCTGAGTCCTGAGTGAGCGAAGGGCAGAGTCCAGGCCCGAGCTGGGTTTGATCTGAGTCACTGAAATCTGGGGAGAGTGGAAAGAGGAGGGGAAGTGGTTGGAGAGGAGAGTCATTATCTACTTGGAATCAGCAAAGTAAACTCATCCTGGCGCCCAGCCATGGTTCAGCTGCTCCTACCTCCCAATTACCTTTTTAATTATAAGTAAGCAAAATAATTCTGAAAAGCACCCACCTGTCTATGGAGAATTTCTCATACTCTCCTCCATGGTTCTGGCCACGTTCCTCTTTCCCTTCCCGCTCTCTGCAGGAAGCCATCCCAGATCTGCTCCCTCCATCCCTCCCTAGCTCGCCTGCAGCAAGGTCTGAAAATGTGTTTTGGTTTCCAAGCCTCAGTGTCTGCATCTTGAATGAGTGTTCTGTCTCCCCCTTTAGGTAGATGGACCCCTTCGTGGTATTTAGCCATCCCTTGTTTCTGGGACATAATAGACTAAAGGGCTTCCTGGCTGGTGAGATGGATTCCAGGACCAATGAGACCAATGATGGCTATAGACGGGCAACATACCTCCAACTCCAGGGGCCATGGGTCAAGGGTACAGAGGGAGAGCTGAGACCAGGATGGGCAGCTTAGCTCAGGTGGGCAGGGGAGGCGAGTGCAGCCTCTCACCCGGCTGAGGAGACCCAAGTGCAAGCAGTAATGACAACGGCCGACATTACTGAACTCACTCCTCCCGGGTTGCTCTCAGCTCTTTGCTCGGATTATCTTATTTAAACCTGACAACAATCCCACGAAGTGGTCTGAATAAGCCTTGTTTTCATGACAACACTGAGGTTCAGAGAGGCTTATTAGTTTGCTAGCACGCGCTGGGGTGCCGATCCGAACCCATGTCCGGCCCCAAAGCTCAAGCTTGTAAGCACTACGCAAGACACCCAAAGCCACCAGACAGCCCCACCTGAGCCTGCTGACTTCCATCTGATCCACCATCCAGGCCAGCAGCTCTCGAATCAGTAAATCCTTGAGCAAATCTTCATCACTGGGCTTCTTGGGTAGAGAGCTGCCAAGGAGAAAGCCTCAGGCTGGCTGTTTGAGCCTGGGCCCCACCCAGAGTGAGTAAATACAGGGCCTGGGACTCCATAGGGCAGCTGGGTTGGGGGGAGGGAGTCAACACAGCTGCCTCTCCTTATCTCAGCTTTCAGAGCTCCACCCTGATCTGTGGGCCAGGGGAACAGGGGCTCTTCAGCACAGGCAACGCGGAACAGAATTCAGGTGGGAGAACCCCCACCCGTCCACCTCTGCGAGCATCCCCGAATGCATCCCCCAAACCCAGGAGATTACTTTGCGGACATTCACTCTTTAGAATGGTCCACAGATTCCTCAGCTTCCTCAGATAGGGGGTAACTGATGTCAAGGGACTGGCCTTCAAAGGGTCCCTGTTCCTCAAACATCCTTCCTGAGGTCTGTCGGGGAGAAGTGGGGAAGCCAGTTCCTGAGGTCTCCCTGACGTCTCTTTCGCTGCCCCTCTCCTTGACTCTGTGATTCTGCACGCTGAAGTCATCAATCTTAGGGACTCTGGTCCCAAACCCCTCCTACGACCCCAGCCCCTGTTCCTCCTCGGCTTCTCCCTTCAGCCTGGGCTGGCCTCCAGGAGTTTCTCAAAGACCCCTCTCTGAACTGGGAGTGGAGGGGGATGCTTATCTGGGGCCTTGCCCTGCTCTGGGGTCTGGGAGAGGGAACAATGAGGCCCTGCCCCCACCCCTTCCCTTGTGGGCTGACTCACCCCTGCTGCTCCCTCGCCTCCTCCTTCCTGTTAGATTGATGGGCCAGCTCCAGGGCCCCAGCAGCCTCCCTCTGGGTGATGTTGTGTTTCCAGCTGGTAAGGTAAAGACGCGGGAGTAGGTGGGGCTGGGGAGGTTCCAGATGTTCTCCAGTCCAAAGGCTCTGATCTTTCGGGGCCTTAACCCAAGCTGCAGAGCGAACCTCTTTCTCCATTCAACCGCCCCACTGCATGTCCTCAGCTGCCACTGTCCACCTTTTCAGCATCTACCACCATGCTGACCGAGCGGCCAGCACGAGGTAAGAGACTTGGCCGAGAGAAGGAAGAAGGACCAAGTCCGCAGTGGCCACCACTGCCAGCAGCATCTCAGCTCCCTCTGCCTTCGTCCCCAGCCCCGTGGGGCTCCTCTGGGAGCCCCTACCTCTTCCCTGATCCCTCTCCTTAGAAGAAAAGGAGTGGAAAATTGCCTTGCCGCCCCCCCCCAAGCAGTTGCCTGAGCCCCGATCAGGGCCACCGTGTCGCCCAGCTCACCATCAGTGCCTCAGTGAAAGGCACCATGTGGGGCTGGGAGGCGCCGGCCCGCGCGGCCCCCAGCGTGCACGGAGGTACAGCCAGCCCCGGGCTCAGGGGGGAGCGTGTGCTTCGACTCACGTGTTCTTCTTCCCCTTCTGCGCCAGCAGCCAGTTCACAAAGTCTTGTTGGCGGACCTTGTCCATGGCGATACTGTAGTCACTGATGAAGGTCCCCTCGGCATACCTGGGGCCTCGAGGTCGGGAGCCACTGACCTTAGCGCGGCCTCTGAGGGGCAGAGAGAGGAGAGAGAGAGAGAAGCCAGGACAACGCAGGAGGGGCAGGGGGTGAGGGGAATCACAGTGCAGGCGCAAATGATTGTCACCGACAGGAGGCCAGTGTCAGAGAAAAACGCCCCTGTTTCTTGGGAGTCCGTTTTTATGCAGACCCCTCTTGTCTATCCATCAAGGCCCTGGGACTTTATCCTCAGCTCTAGAACCCACTTCCTGCATCCTCGGTGTGTGTGACTCTGGCTTCGGGGCAAAGAGGGATCAGGGGTCCCCCTCATCCCGAAGGACTGATCTCAGTTCCCCCCTTTGCTCCTCTTGCCTGGCCCACCCCGATTCAAGGCTTTGCTCCCAGTCGATAGGAACAAGAGTGAGCTCCTCCGGAGACGAACCATGAGAGACGATGGACTCTGAGAAACGGGGGGATGGGTTAGCCTGGTGACGGGTATTAAAGAGGGCACGTTCTGCGTGGAGCACTGGGTGTTATGCACGAACAATGAGTCATGGAACACTACATCCAAAACTAATGATGTAATGTATGGTTAACATAACAATAAAAAAATTATTAAAAAAAAAAAGAGGGCGCCTGGGTGGCTCAGTTGGTTAAGCGACTGCCTTGGGCTCAGGTCATGATCCTGGAGTCCCGGGATCGAGTCCCGCGTCGGGCTCCCTGCTCGGCAGGGAGTCTGCTTCTCCCTCTGACCCTCCCCCCTCTCATGTGCTCTCTCTCTCTCTCATTCTCTCTCTCTCAAATAAATAAATTCTTTAAAAAAAAAAAAAAAAGAGTGAGCTCCTCCATAACGGCCCTCACTGTGTGGCAGGTCCTCTGTAAGCCCTTTGCTAGACAGACAGACTCATTTGACCCTCGTCACCCCTAGGAAGTAGACACTATTTCTACGCCCTTTTTGTGATCGAGGAAACTAAGGGGCAGAGAGATTCATCTAGCACATCTCTTAGGTGGCAGATCCAGGATTTAGCCTCAGGCGGTCCGGGCCCAGGTCTAAGTTCGCAACCTCTACAAGATGTTGCCCTTCTTTGTACCCGTCTGACAGCCGTGCCTCCCATCTACAGGATGCAAGGGATGGACCACATGGCTGGTTCCTGCATCCAACAGGGAGCAGCTCTTTACTCAGACAAGTCTCTCTCGGCCCTCCAGAGCACAGAGCCCCCTGCTCCATGTGTTCATGACACTCTGCTCGCCCCCCCCAACCCCGAAGTGCTCAGGACAGTTTGCAACTCGCCTAGGGGGTTCTTTGTTTCCCCCTGGGGCCCATGTGTTCCACGAGGAACATGTGGACCACTCAGCACTAATGTATCTCCTGTGGCTGGCGCACAGGGGGCCCTCTCCACAATTTGATCAAATGCACACAGGAATGAATGGTTAAGGCTTTCCTTAGGAAGGGAGATACTGTCATCTACTTCAGACACTTAGCCACTGAGAAGTCCTTCCAGAGATCTAACCACAGTCTCTCCTGTGGCAACAGTAGCTCGTAATAAATGCTCTCGGGTTCGGCCCTCACTGCGCACACAGGCGCTGGCCGGTTTTCCCCTCCGCCTTCTTTCCCCTTGGCCTGGGACCCCTCCCTTTCCCACCTCTCCCCCGGAGAACCAGAACCGGGTCATCCTCCCTTGTGCCCGACCCCTCCCCTGCAGCCCTACCTGGAGTGACCCTCCGCCTTCTCTCCTAGCACCACTGCCAGGAGCAGGGACCCCAGCAGGAGACCGAAGATCTTCACGGCCACCATCTTCCAAGGGTGATTTCCTGAGCAAAGAGAGAAAAGGGACCGGGCGGAGGGAAGCACCGTTCTCATGGATAGTCAGCATGGCCGGCCGTGTCCCGCTGACGCCTCAGAGCATGTGTGGGTTCTGCAAGCTGGGGGCCCTGAGCTCTGGACGAGGGCGGTGGGGGGAAAGGTCCAGGCAGAAGAAAGCAGCCAAGACCCGTGGGCCTGCCAGCCCCGTTCCCGGCTCCGGTGGCTGGGCCTCACCGGCATGTGGTTTGGCGAGTCTCCCCTTAGAGCCTCCAGGGTCCCATAGCAGCCCGCCTTCCAGCTGTCGGACTGGAGGTCACCTAAACCATCACAGTCCTCTTGCCCCAAGTGAAAGCCACAAGTAGGACCATTCCAGCCTCTCCTTCTCGGGCTTCACTCTCTCTACTCAGGGAAGCTCTTTCCAGGGTGCCCCTGCGGGAAGACGAGGTCCGGCAGCCCAAACATGTCTCGGTCTAGCTTTGGTTTTCAGGGCTTGGGAGGAGGGTTCCTTACTGCTCTTCACCCCTACTGAAGACCCCCTGGATGAAATGGGCCCAGACCTCGTTTGTCCTCCTGCCTTTGTCCCCCGGGTGTTACAGGAATGCTGAGAGCTGCCTTCTTATTTCTCACGCAGATTGCCTCTCCGATACCCCCTCCAGCCGTCCTCTGTCCCAGCCTCTCCCTTACCTGGCTCCCTTTCCGGCTCTTCCAGAAGGACAGGGCAGGGGTTTCTTCCTCCTACCTTCTGGTCCTTTGGAGCCTGTCTCAAGAAAGTCTGCTGTAGCTCCTTTATATCCAGGCATCACAGGCCTGCTGATTAGCCTAAAAGCACCTTATCTCAAGAAATTAGGTCCACAGCTCCCGCCACGTTAAGTCCATTTTACGCGTAATAAAGTTGCCCTTTCCACCTGAACTGTGCTAATCGATGATTAACATTTGGGTATCTCCAGTTGCCCGGGGGGTAGGCCACTTTAAGTGTCCCCTTTCTTCTCCCCCCTCCTCCCTTCTGAGCACGGGGCCCCGTATTCTTCTAGCCCTACTTCCTTTATAGGTGTCCTCAGTTAGAAAGGGTGCCTTAGGTCGGGTGGCCCTAGCTGGGGTAGGACTGCTCCCCCAGGCAAGGGGCTGCCCCTGGGTCCGAGAGAGTGGGGCGCAGTCATTGGAAACCCAGCTCGGGATAGTGGCCCACGGCTTTGGCAATGAGGCAATGTCCCCACTGCGAAATCTAGGGCGGGGTGGTACCCCAGCCGGCTGGGGAAAGGGCTGGAGAGTGAGAGGGCTGAGGGACCATGAAGGATGGGCGTTTCCTGGGGTAGCTGGGAACTGAGAACTCACAGTCAAGCTGCCTTTCTGCATAGGGGCAGGATAGAGTGGGGGAAAGAAGTACTTACCCCTTGGGAACTCGAAGGAAGGTGGGCAGCTACAATTCTATCTGTAAAGGTTTATGACACCCAATGTGGACTTGTCTGTGCCAACGGACTGGGGGACCCTGAGGTCATGCTGTGCCTGTCAGACTGGGGGCTCTCCAACGTGGGGGCTTTGTCTCCCGGATCAGACTGGGGGCTCTCTGAGATCAGGAATGTGAACCAGGGGGGCTATCGTTCCCCATCCTACGTAAGCTTCTGGAGGCTAAGAGCCATGTCTGTCCCTTAGACTGGAGACTCCTCAAAGTACTGCGTCTGCCTTTGTCCAAGCGCTTAGTACACGCCTCTGTCCTCAGGGCTCAGTCTAGAAGGGGCAGGGCGGAAGCTGCATTTTGGGCTGACCCCCAAGGCCGCCTTCCCAGGCTCTTCCTTCTCCACTCACCGGAGTACTCTGAACCAGCAACAACCAAGCTCATGCTCTGCTTATTAGCTCCAGGGTCTAATAAAGGCCACTTACCAGGTAAACTCTGGGGCCAGGAAGCAGCTCCAGCATGAAATTAAGTGCTTGTGTGGGATGAGAGGTCGCTGGATCAGGGGGGCAATTCACCTCTGCTTCCTAGAAACCTTGCCCACCCACCACCCATTTTTCACCGTCTAGAAAAACTTCTCTCCGGGCAAGCTCTCCAAATTCCATCTCCTGGCTATCCACGGGCAGTGATTAGACGTCATTTCAGATTTGGCCTCCAAACGGGATGCGGGATGCGGAGGTGTTTGTGATCCTGTTTCCTATTGAGCAACAGTTAATGGGCTCAGAAGTGTTTGTGTCAAGACCTGGGCACCCCTGCCTGGAGGCACAAGGTTATCCAAGAAGGGTGTACATCATTCCCTGGAAACCCTAGGTCTGATGCCAGACCAGAGTCAAGAAGGTTCTGGAGTGGGTCCCTGCAGCTCTGAGTGCCTGCCTGGTGCTCTGGGGATTTGTTTTGGGGGCAGGCTGCTCTGAAGGCCAGTTTTGTTGCTTCAAATTCTCAGCCCACCCCCTCTTGGAGCGGACCTTTCGGCAGCCCCGCAACCTGTTTCCCTTTGATCTTTGGCTCTCAGGCCCTGCGGTGGACACACCAGGGAAAATGTAGCCCGGGCCCTGGGAGAGGAAGGAATGTGGGGAGGGTCAGGGGAGGAGATCAGAGAAGATGCCAGATGCTCAGGGGAGCCCACAGCCCCCACCCCCAGAGCATCTCAGGAGGCTGGGGAATGGAAAAGACGGCCTTCTGAAGTTTCTAGCGATCGGAAGGGCCTGCTGGACTTGATCAAAATAGTTCAGTAAATCCACTGGCAACTCCATCAGCCTGTCTGCACCATGAGAAGTGCCCTAGTGTGCAGGGGTGGGGACAGAGGGGGCTCTGGTAGACCCTCAGTCCATTGGGGCGGATTTCCAGGATGTGAAGGGTCAGAGAGGTCACAGGGGGTGGGAAAGCAAGAGGAAGCCCGGATACAAAGGCCAGTGGCCCAGACAGGTGGAGAGCGTGGGGGTGTACGAAGGGCGTCTAGGACACATGGAAGGCAGCCCAGGAAGGGACGGCGGCAGTATTGTTGCCCGAGAACCCTGGGGTCCCGCTTCCCAGACCCTCCTGACTTCTGACCGGGGCTCCAGGATGAGAACTGGCGCAGCAGAAGAGCCTGTGGGGCTTGCTGACTCTGCCAGCTCCCAGCGGTGACTCACCACCCCCGCCATAGCCCGAGGGCCACCGCAGACATTCCAGGCCCAGCGGCCTCACCGCCAGGCAAGCGTGACTCAGAGGGCCGGCTGCAGCCGGGGGAGACTCTGCTTCGGAGGTACACTTGGTCTTCAAGCTCCCCGGCTGACTCAGAAGGCAGACATCCCTCTCTGGGCTCTCCTACACCAGGTGGCAGATTTGTACTCTTCTCCTGCAGAGGAGACAGAGGGACAAACTTTGCTGAGTCATCGGGTCTATCCTGGATTCCTAGAAGGGTCACCTCCAGCTTTCCTCCCCAGTCATGTTGCAAACCCAGTCGTGGTCCCAAACATTTTTGCCCACATCAGCCCCAATACCCCTCAGACCAAGATACTGTTCAGAGGGATCTTTAAGAAAGAATATACTTAGTCAGTAAGATTATACTAACTTTGTATGGTGACAGATGGTAACTACATTTATGGTGGCGAGCATTTTGCAACGTATATAATTGTCGAATCACTATGTGACTTACCCCCAATGAATATAATATCTCAACTACACTTCAATTAAAATAAAGAAAACTCTCCACTAAAAACCGGGAAGGTACTACCGACAACCTCACTTGGCCATCTGCTATAAGGAATCAGTTTGGAAGTCCCCTCTCAGTTCTAACCCCAAACCCTCTTGCTGTGTTCAAAGTCCATATTTTGTCCACTTTTGTTCATCAAGAAAAGAGCTCAGCCGTTAGTAAATGCGACCTAATCCATGGGAAGAGAACTGCGGGCAGTGTCCGAACTGGGAGGGGTGGCCGCACGGCTCTCACTTCCAGAGAGGGCAAGAGCTAGTGGTGCATTTAGGGTGAAAGGCCAAAGGGCCGGGCGTCCCAGAGAAAGTAGCGTTCCTGACCCCTTCTCTGTCCTGTGGGAGCACCTCCTAGGGGAGGGAGGGGTGGGGGGAGAAGAGAGGGTTTCCCCTTCCTTTTCCCTGCATGGGGACAGCTTCCAGGGTCCCCAGTGAGGCCCCCCACCACACACCCATTCCTGTGATGGGTATGGGGAGGACCTTCTGCAACCTCAGCAACCACACCCTTCTTTAAGGAGACTAGGCAGTAGCCTGTGGGGTGGAGGAGGAGGTGTTCAAGCCCCAGCTCCTCCCGCCAGCCACTGCCAGGTGAGGTTTGGATTTGGGCCAAGCCCTTATCCACTGTGAGCTTTGAGTTTGCCCATCTCTGAATTGGAGATAAGGAAACAGAATCTGGGGGCATCTGGCTGGCTCATGCGATGCTTGATCTCAAGGTGGTGAGTTCAAGCCCCACGTAGGGTATGGAGCCTACTTAAAAAACAAACAAACAGCCTCCCCCTCCCCCCCCAAAAAGAAAACCGGAATCAGTCCTCCCTACCTCATAGGTAAGTGTGACATAATGCCATATTAACTTGAAGGCACCCTACCAGTGTTGGCGGGGGGTATTCTCTACAATGATCTCCTCCACCTCACTCTATGGTGAGCATTCGGTAAGATGAAAAAACAAAGCCAGGCTAGGACACCTGGGTGGCTCAGTCGGTTAAGCGTCTGCCTTAGGCTCAGGTCATGATCTCAGGGTCCTGGGGCCAAGCCCCGCGAGCCAGCTGCCTGCTCAGCGGGGAGTCTGCTTCTCCCTTGCCCTTCCCTCTCCCCCTACTCATGCGCATGTGCTCGCTCGCTCTCTCTCTTTAAAAAAAAAACAAAAAAAAAAAACAAACAAAAAAAAACCCAGGCTGACTCTGCCCCTCACCTGGTACAGGGAAGGCTCGTGAAATTCCCTGTTAGGGGTGAGGGCTGTGCAGACAGACCCGCTGATGCTACTAGCGGGGTGGGTGTTTTAGAGCAACCTGCTCTTTCTGTGCTGCGGTTCCCATTTCTGTAAAATGGGAGTGCAAAGTTCCTACAACAAAGAATT